TTCTCTGACGGTGGGAGAGCACCTCCGGTTGTTGAACGGTTTGCTGCTGCCCGCCTCAAGCCAGACAGACCATGGTCAAATTGGTGCGAACCCGCCAAAACCCACCTGCGTCTGGCCGTGGTTGCATGTGCGTATCCTACTACGGTCGCAAAACATAAATGAATCGTTCCAGCACCTCATATATATATATATATATATATATATATATATATATATATATATATATATATATGACAACAGTCTACGAATATACAAGAGCCATCAAAAACCATGGGACTCCAAAGAAGGTACAGAAATTGTAAAAGGAAACACAGAACTCAATACATTGGAGACCATGGTTCCGTTTGTGGTTGAGATAATACCCGGTTGCCCAAGTCGAAGTATGGTGTTGACTTAGGGACACCACCCCGAGCCTTTGGCTGAATAGCCTGCCAGCTAGACAGCGGAGCTAATTCAGGGAATCGCGCCTATTGGGAGCCGGTGACTGATTGCTCAGTTCATACGCCTCTCGTTTGTTCGTTTCTCTAACAGGGGCCCAATGATCCCCAGAATTACTGCATGAACTGCGGGAATACAATGCTTCGCCAGGATGAAGCAAGTGGCAGTGACGTTATTTAGTGGCGAGTAACGTCCGCCAAGTCACAGTGTTGTTAAACGGAGATATGTGGCTTTTTATAGGGAGAACACTTGCCAGGCGAAAACCTACCACGTCCTGGAACACTACCGCCGAACGATTTGTTGGAACGGGAAAATCCCGAACCACCCAGCTGGCACCACGAGGAGGTTGTTCGGCAAACCAGCCAGTGAGCCAGGTTGGCGTTAATCGTTCGAGGAAGCTGTATAGGTGTCACAAATATGGATCCAACATGTTAGCCTTTTACGGACGATGTTCGGGCTGGTCGGTGGTTCCATGTTCTTTGCCGGACGGCGGCCGAAAGGACAACACGAATGGCCCTGTTTTGAGCTTGCGTATGGTGTAGTGAGACTCTTTCAATATCCTTAGCCCACGCATAACTGGTGGTGGTTGCGTGGCTACGAAGCTTCGGTACTACGTACCGGCGTACTGTTGTTAAGCTGAAGCTGGACTAATTAGTTCAATAGGACATGATTATATATGAGACGGTCTTGGCAATGCCAACCGAGTCGGACTTATTTTAATAATGCATTGGAATATGGCGCGTGGATTCCTCCATAAGTTTGATCTATTTAATTGCGCATGATGCGTGTTCAAGAGGCTTACATTTTTTACATGTTTCGCTCGTCAAACACCGGGAATGCGGGTGATCCGCTTGTTTATGAGCTGACAACTTGCTATCGTCATTGTCAGCCATCAGAGGGCGATTTGTCAGTGAATCATTCCCTACCATATACTCAACTGTTTCTATAAGACTGCTGTGCTATCCCTCATCATTTGCGCGTCCCATTTGCAACGGTTGCGTAATTTGGCTGGATTAGTTCAAGCGCAAAGATGGAAGTTGTTATAGTGCCCATTAGTTGTTTAAAACATTAGTTAATCGACTTTTTAAAATGGACCTGGAGCAACCACTTGCTAAGGTAGCACTGGGTGACTCGTCGTGTTAAAATTAATAGCACCTTTACCTCATGGTTTCTATTCCTTGCTTTTGGTTGAACATGACGCCGTAGTCTCTTACACGTGGAGACTATTTGATTATTTCCACCATCAGGTTCCGTTGCAATGCCTAGTTCATTCAGGTTGGATGAGCCCATTTTTAGCATGGATGAATGCGGCCAACCTGAATACATATACCAGCAGCTAATTTGGATGGTCACCATCTAAAGGCGGCATGAAAGTATCGCCCACGATCGACCATGTCACAGGTATGGGGCGCTTCTCAGAAAATGTGGTCTAACTACTAAATGAGCCTAAATAATCCGTCAAAATCGCAGCAATTGCCACACGCAGGGAGCTCTATGCTTACATCAGTCGTCTAACACACAGTCCTGTGGTTATGGATTGACAGATCATTCTGTGTGGACATTAACGCCCGCGCTTTATGAACTTGCAATACGGTCAATTTCCCAGAGGCGGGTGAGAGATAGTTGCTTGTAATTTGGTCTCCAGTTTCAGTTAAATTACTTGAGGATACATCGCTCTTATTAGTCGGCTATGTGCGATCTCAAGCCAGATTCCCCTGACTTGTGACCGTGTCCTAGGAAATAAAAATCCTACAAGAAAACAAAAAATTAAGTTTTTGGTCCAACCACTGGATAAAGTAACAAACGTTCTATTGGAGACGGTTTACGAAAGATAGACTGCAACAACCATCGAATCACTGGTGACGTTGCCACCTTTTGTGTTTTGATTATAACCTTTGTCTTCAAATCCTAAGTCTTTAGTTCTCGCACATGTCGGGTCAAGTGAACGCCTCTCGCCCCATTATCTCTGAGACAGCAAAAAGGCATTCTGAGTCCCCTAGTGTGGCTTCTGTGTGATTGGACATCGCTGCCCAATCATTGCACATAAAGCTGTTTGGATATGCTGTGAGACCGGCAGCACTCGTAGCATGACCTGCTACCGTGGTGATAAACAGATGTCACATGCATTAAACCATTATTAGTATCCATATATCTGATGAAAACAGAAAAATTTCAGGACATTAGGTGCTAGGGAGGGAAATCTCATCAGTCTCGTAACAAGTCCACAATTTTGCAACAAGTAAGGACGCAGGATAACCTGTCATACAAGACCTAGACCAATACCGTGACATGCGAATGTGGCGCAAATCACGTTGCACGCGTGTATTCTTCATACCTATGTACTGTGGAAACCTACATGTTAGTTAGTTAATCAATCAGGACTGGTAGTTCGTTCATATCAGGCCACCGTCATGCCGTAGGTGGTTCCCATCCTGCTGTCTTATTGAATTAGGTCTCGTGATGGTAGTGTGACAATGTCATCGCCGGCAACGACCTTCGTTTCCCTGGAATCGCTGACGAAAACAGTATTTTCAAGACTGAAAATCATATAGGTTTCTTCACTAAGCACAGACCAACAAGCCGCAACGCGAGAAGACAAACGTCATTTGGTTAACTCATTTCTACTAAACTCACTTAGTTACAATTCGAATATAATTATGAAACACGACGTAATCCCTGTCAGTGTTGTGGGCGTTTGGATTCATGCTGAGGGTGTCTGTGTTGCTCCCGGATGGTCGCCGACAATGTTTATGTGTTAACTGCTCCATTTTCTCTACGGAACAATGCGCATCTATGTACGTCGTACAACAGACCTTCAGCGCTCGAACCACTCCAGTCAGCACTTCGGTGTCTGAATTCGGTCATTACTATTCTTTAAGCATAAAAACGAATGAAGACAAAAGGCCATACAGCTAAGGTTTATTAGGCGGTAGCATCTACATTGATAAATTGGGAATCTTTATTCTGCCGGTTGATTATGGTAATCTGGTACTGTACAGAGCGCCTTTTGCATTGCTCGTCACCTGCGTGTTTTACTGATTCCAGGAAAAGGGGGTTACGTTAGAACATTGAGAAAACCTATTTTGTTCCTCGGAGAAAATGTGTACATTGTGCGAAAAGACCACCCTAAATACAGGGACTTTCAATACAAGGCGAAATTTAGTGAGCAACAATGTAAAATGGGAACCTGGTTGGTGAACTTACTCTAATCTCAATGTATTCTGAAGTTAGAGCATGAGAAGCTTCTCCAAATTATTCACGACAGCGAATACTCATTTCAATGAGAACAAGGAAAATAGCTTGCATGTATACTCAGAGAGTTCCTTCACATGCTTCTGCGCTTTGCACTTAAAAGAAGCAGTAATAACCATCATCTGACTCTAAGTCTAATAGCTAATCCATGTGAATTGGCGTCTGGCAGCACGGTTGGTGAGTTGCTGTGTATGCGCTACTGCACTCTTAGGAGTGTTCGGCAACCGCTCTTATGCGTCTGGCCTTTCTTTAAGAGAAATCGAGCATAATCTGTGAGTCCTTTACGCAGACCAAGTCCTGCACTCGGTTGTGCTAACATCGTGGTTCATGTTTCCAGGTTTCGTGGTGGTTTGTACCTGCTTTAGCCGCATTGCAGAATAACCACAATGTGCGTTTGTTAAACCAATGAAGGAAACTAGTAGTTTTAATTAAATATATGTTCCTTTCTTCAAACAAAAGGGTGAACTCGGGTGCATTCACATCCTATGCCAGAGCTAAGTAAACCGCCGTTCCGGTTTTCGCGAAACTAGTTTTACCAGATGCTTGATAAAACGGCAGTATATTAAATGTGCCATCCTTGAGAGTTGTTACCTTGGTGCATCGCTATGTCGCAAGGACATATTGATGGTCGACTAGGTTAAGCGGTTTTTACCAGAAGATGGATTTCGCATTAAGAGTAACATTATGGTAGGTTTTACTAAATACACTTCTTTGAAAAGCTTTGTTTTAAATGTTGCAGTACCAATGCAAATTCATTTATGTTTTCGTTGGGCCAAGAAACACTGGCCATGCAGTAGGTATTGCTCTCACTTTCTGCATTCGCCCGGTTCGAAACGTCTTCAGCTAACTCGTCGTTTGAAGAAGAAATGCTTGTAGCTTGCAATAAAGGCTCTGAAGATTTCTGTTGTGTTGTCTTTGGTGTTAGCTTCAGATCTGCATATGCAGCAATGTCATACACATTTTCGGTACCAATCCTGATAACCGTGCATTCATTGTGTTCTCCTGCCATAGCATTGTTATGATTATCCTACCCTAACAATTAGTAATTAGATAACTAACTGCCCTCTACCATTTTGTCTATACCATCGGGGGGAGATGGAAGGCCCATTGATGTCGAAATTACTCCCCGTCGAACTACTTTATCTCTAGCATTTACACACAAAATGCACCTTTTGCCTGCTTTCGGGATGTGTTCAATCGTGCGTTCAATGTGCAGTCAATTAGACATTCGCCTTTTCCCAACTACCCTTAATGGTATCACGTGTGTTGTCTGTTGACATTTCCGACTAATTCCACACTTTGTATTTCAGAAAGCGTTCGACCGTCGATGATTGTCTCAGTCATCCGTGGATTCGAGTGAGTGCATACTGAAATGAATTTCTAGTCCGTTAGACTACATTCCTTTCTGCATCAAACATAGTTTAGCAAAGTCAATATTTGGATGTGTTGGCATAAGAAAGAACGCGCAGCTTTGGGGTTGCATGTTTTCAAATTTTATCGTCCAATAAGAAAGCAGCATGTTAAGTAACTACAATGGCGGAACTGTCCACGTTTTGCTCTTGTTTTATTCTCCCCCACAATTGCTCTACCAATGCAACCTATTGATTGATATTAATAGCCTTTCAGCAGTAAGTTCATATACTTTGCCTTCACACGTCGCAAATCAAATTGTCGTTTATTTCAATATATAGTTAGTAATTTCCATGCTGACACCCGATTTGCATTACAATTTTCGCGTATAGCCCTGCAATATGATGCAGACCGATACTCGAAGAGGAAGCGTCATCAAGAAGCAAAATCTGGATTGCCTCCGACATTTTGTTGCAGTAAGTCAGCAGTATTTATGGTCTCTTTCACTGGTTCAAAAATCTTTTATCACAAAATATTATGGTTCGGCTTGGTTATTTGAAGCTGTATAACCGACTTTGTTTGGTGCTTGGAGTACACACTAAGAAATGGGTGTACTGTTGGTTGCTAGTCAACCGGTAGTCACCAAAGTTGATCGGCTGTTAGCTGGACTTGATGGGCAATATTCATTTTTAACTTAAGTGACAAGATTTTGACGTCTTTGATTTCTACTGACTATTACTGTATAAAGAGACAAGAATAGTAAATTTACGAAATTCTCAATTTTGGCTGGCTAGTTTCGTGCACCATGCCTGACTTTAAATCACTCCAAACTTGTGGACTGTCTTGTGAAGCCCCTATCTCTTAGCACAGCTATGTCTAGTTTGTTGCGAAACACCCGGCCGGTATTTAGGTCAACACCTCTGGTCTAGGGAAGCAGCCGTAAAACTAGTAAGAGTATCTCTATCTATGTGGCCAAATTAGGCACTGAAATTTGGACCGCATGGCCAACGACTTTCGGGAATTAATGGTGTAACCTTGTATTTATCGCCATTTAGTTGCTGGAAAACTTTTCTAACTTACATTCTGCTGCAGTACCCCACCCCACCCGCCTCTCCTTCCGTGTCAAGGGCAATCAAGGGTAAACAAGTGGTACAACTTCCCAGCCCACATGAACTCACTCCAGATGCTGATCCAACGTGTACTACTTCCTTGAATCACGTTAACTGCAACTCAAAGAAATCAACTGATAATGGTCCAAACGTACAGAGAACAATGCTCAAAAATGGGATTGAAAATCATACTTCTAATTCGAATGAATCCGAACATGCAATCTACTCAGAAGTTGGGTTTAAGAGCGAGATACAGGGCAATCCTTGCCAAGCAACTGAAGGTAATTCTTCGATTATGCAATTTATAAGCGACTAGATAGAAACTGTGTTTTTTGTATTTATGATGCCATGAATTTTTGCGTTGAGAAAAGAGGAAAGGAAGCGGAATTTTGTGTTTACATTCGGGTCGCTTCATACATTTGAAGTAGTGACTGACCTCCAATGGTTATCCGTTGTTTCATGGAGACGGTATGTTCAGCTAAGCGACGACATGTCATCACAGACGGAAGCTACGGTTCATCAATTCTTCTCTCTGATTTTATGCTACTTGCTAACAATGAAGTAGTCCCAAGTTTTACTTATGAATGGAAGGATTTTGGTGAGTACTTTTGTTCGTCGCAATTAGCCGACAATTCAGTATGTCGACCAGCTGTCCGGAAAAGCACCAGACGACCGTTTCGCCCTATTGGGGCTCATCAGTGGTGCGCATCCTTCGGTCCTCTGCGGAGGATCGAACCCATGACTGCTAGTGGCTCTTGCCAACTAGCCCGCAGCTTATGCAACTGCGCCATGGAGGACGGTATCTGACTATCGTGAATTGTTAGCTAAATGCTAACAATTCACGATAGTCAGATACCGTCCTCCATGGCGCAGTTGCATAAGCTGCGGGCTAGTTGGCAAGAGCCACTAGCAGTCATGGGTTCGATCCTCCGCAGAGGACCGAAGGATGCGCACCACTGATGAGCCCCAATAGGGCGAAACAGTCGTCTGGTGCTTTTCCGGACAGCTGGTCGACATATCTGAATTGTCGGCTAATTGCGACGAACAAAAGTAGTCCCAAGTTTATTTATCGATAGATGCGACTACTGAGGTTGTGTGGATATGCACGCTCATTACAACAATCCGCAAGTTCCCTAATAGTTCCTCCTCCAAACAGGAAAGAGACCACTTGACAAAAGGTAGAATGACCCCCTTCTTATTAAAAATAATCTATGTTCCTCCTTATCAAGGCATGCGGAGATACACTTTTAAGAATTTCTTGTAACGGCGGAATTGTGTAAGCGCGCTCACCCAAGGGTAACAAAGCACTTTAAGACAACAGACCACCGAGTCAGTCCTGTTGAGTCGTTCACGGTGCTAATGCGTGATCAGCGACTTCGCATTTTTGGGCTCCTAAATGACATTGTTATTGACCTCAAACGGCCACATGCATTCAAAAATAACTGATTACGGCTCTAAACCTACCTTGGTAGTGCAAACGCTTCGCCGTATGCTATGTCATATGACACTGCAGCAAGTTTTGCCTTGTCATAATGCACGACCTGATTACGTCATCACTTAAGTCTGTAGATTTTCCTGTCTGAAATTATAAATGGAATTTCTTTTTCTGAAAATCCAGTTTAACTAGTCGGTTTGTAGATGCAATATTCCTTGTACGGTTTTAACTGCCTTTATGCCGCACTGTATGACTATTTTCACAAAATTGTCCTAACGCTTAAGCATATTTCTCCTAGTGTCATACAAAAACGAAGCAGGTAAGGTATTTGCTAGATCTGCTGACTGCAATAACACTGGAGAAAGATGCAGCACGTACTTCAGGATCCAACGCTCTAAACGTTTGCAAAATACTCCACACTTTATCTAGGCTCAGCCTTGGTTGTAAATATCCTTGTCACACCTTGCTGAGAATATACAAATTACAAGTAAAATTATAAAATTGGCGTTGTGTTCACGTGCTACTCACGAATCAGGAAGGGTTCCTCACTTATGCGGCTTCATCTTTGCCCGATAGTCTGCTGTTTGTGAAAGTACAAGTTTCCCGGTGTGCATTTCTCAATCAAAAAAGCCGTACACAGATTTTAGGTTTTTGCACGTTTGCTTCTCACGTTACTTCCACGCCTCCCCCATCAACCGTCTCTGCTGATTTATGTTTGCACGGATGATAACTAACCATTAGTGAGTTTCGATGCATTAAGTTTGATGACGCTCAGACGCATGTGAGACGGGATAAGATTGCGTTCCCAAGTTACACACTGAGAAATGCACACACTTCCTATTTTACATAAAGAAAACACCTCAACCTTCGGACCTCGTCGCAGAAACGCGTATTGCTTCGGGTAACCATTAGAAGCACAGAACCGAAACGGTTTTTGTCGGACAGCAACAGTCTTTATTCGTGATTCTACATGTTAGGTAAAAATTACACGCCTGTTTCGTTGTTGCGGCTAGTAGTGTTAGCTGTTTTTGAATCAATCTCATCTCTGAACGTCGAATTGCAGACATCGCAAATGAACTTCACCCGACTGAATCATCATTTACTGTCTGATTTAAGTCCCTGTCTCAGTTGAGGGCAAGACACCCATCCTTGTTGACAATCCCATTGGCAGAGGAACGGCGGGGAACTGGCGCTCGAATCTTGGGAACAGCCTCATTGGCAGACTGGGAGCAGCGCTTGCAGCGGCCACTATTCACTCACCTACAACTATAGGGGAAAGCAGAGTGGAGCAATCAATAAAGGTCAGCCAAGGTAACGGCGCAGAAGGCGTTCCTGGAAAACCAGTCGAATCCAAGAGCACTAGCGGAAAGGTGAGTTCCATGCTTAAGTTGCAACTTAAGATATACATCGTGCATTTTTGATTACCCAAATGTATTTCAGTAACACAAAGGTTCCATCATACTAGCCGATCCACTTGAACAGTGAGCACGCTATCGTTTGGATGCTATTAGTAGATGCAGTTCTTGAATGTAAAACAACCTCTCGCAGTCACAAGCATTACTGTAGCTTCGCAACTAGGACAACATATAAACTCTTGTATGTTAGTTAAAAGGACATGTAATCAGTACGGAAACGCCATGGGCATTAACATTTGAAGAAACCCGACCACTTTCGTCTTCTCTTCTGATCGATGGATCTGCCCATCTACAAGCTACCCAGTGTTACCCTCAGGTTGGCTTAGTTCAGACTAATAAGCGGTCATTAAACTTTATTTACGGCGTCGACTTGTTCATTGGCCTTAGCACTTCGGTAAGCAGTCTGATTGACCTGCAGTACCGCAGAGTTTCCCCTGGGAAATGCTCAGTACTCTCTGGAATGTTGACTTTCTACCACCATCTGAGGATGAGGTCTCCTATGGGCCTCGCCCCCAGCCTAGACGAGATCCCTCTAGCTTTTCTCGAAGACGGAGGTCTATTCAAGAGATTGGGATCACTGAAGCAATTTCGTCCGATTAGGACCTGGAGGAAATCGTTCCCGTCTTCGAGAAGTTTGCCAGGACAGAATGCACCAAGCATGGACAGACTGGTGAAATTCAACTGGCATTCAAAGTGCTCGCCACTCTGCTTTTGTGAAGGCCCAGGCTGGTTCGCAGACAGAACATACGTGAAAAGTCCACTGGGTTCCGAGCTGATAAGAGCTGTATCCATCACACCCTCACGAATTGCCAGATAGTCCAGCGTCGTCAAACGTTTGGCCTGCGAACGATCGCTGCCCCCTTAGACAATTGGCGAGTTCACAAATATAGAAAGTCGGAAGGATATGAAGTACGGCCTGTGTCGAATGAGAGTAGAATATGTAGCATGAAACAGGATAGCGGTCATGCATGAGGAGGAATGTGCCTGTCAAGAAGGCAAATAGACTAAGAACATAGCACACGAGATAAAGTTGATAGTTTAGGCGCGGGAGAAATTCATAATTGCTCTTCAGACTCAGTACTTGGAAGCTTCACGGGCCAACCTCGATACGGATGCCTGTGTCGATTATTAAACAATGAACAATAACTTTATACGGATTAAGAAGCTTTAGTTTACTAGCCCCGTTGGGTGGTCTGGTGGGTTATTGACAAAAATTAATGCAAAATGCATTTTGTGCTTTTACTGACAAAAGGGTAGAGTTATCGTTTTTACTGCAGTAACCCTGCACTCCGCAGATCCAATAGGCAATCAATAACTAATCCAAAGTATTTGCGGGAGGAAAATGAAGAGATTGGGCTATGTACCAAAAAGTAAGTGTCGTCGTCTAAACGACTTATAAATATGGCTAGTATGTGTGTAGAAAGGACTCATTTTGGAAGAGCGTTCAGCGGGTGACACACGCAAATAAAATGAAATTTGAGCGCGTGCAGGGAATAAAAAATATATTATTATGCAGACTGACAAAACCCAATGATAGTGTGGAATAAAAACACGGAGCACGTCGGCTCGGGAAGAGGTGACCTAGAATTTTGTAAAAGTTTTGAAACTTACATATACAGCACTCTCCGTTAATTGGCCGCAATCAGCATCAGAGTGAAAGTGTATAGCAGTGGTTGTCTGCTGATACCATTAGGCTCAATCCGTCTGCTTAATCACTGGTTGCAGTGCTTTTACTTCTGATTCAGCTGTTCGGTGAATACAACCTTCCTTTCTTAATATCTTCCGCAACCAACTAACGCGTTTACACATGGATGACTCCCGTCGTCACCAGCATGTCACGATATCTGCTCTGATAGATGAATACCGATTACTCCGTAAGTATCTTCAATTTCGGCGTGGCCTCGGATTCAACCCTTGTCCACTACTTGTGCAAACTTGTGAGGATCGCGAACGTGTTTTCCAGATAAAAAAAAATTTAGCCATAAATTATAGACAAGCGCGTGGTCAAGTTGAATGATGGCGAGTCTACAGAACTCAGGCCTTCGTTATCCAGCACAACTGCCGTTACAGCGGTACCCTTGTTTAATAGTGAGGTCTCATATTACAGCTTTTGAAGGCAGTAAGTTTGACTCCTCGCATCTAACCTTCTTCAGCGAAATTGGGGTCACCCCACTGGATGAACAGTAAGTCCATAATACGAAAATCGGAAGTACTCTTTAGTTGCTTTCTTGCTTAAGAGTCTTTTTATCCAGCTTCGCACACGAATCAATCCGTACATTAGATGTATATACTCGTTCTTATGCCGTGCACGTGTTTCTCTCCCACAGCGTGTGAATCAATGGACCAACACGCTTCATCAGTTCCACCGCCCCCGCAAGCCAGTAAACAGAATAATGCACCTGGGAACCGTATCACGCGCTGTTAAAGAGTTCGAGATCACCGCATTTAATTCCAAGGACTACAGAAGCACCAATGAAGCACAAACGGTCAACATCAAGTCATCAGTGACTTCCATACCATTGGAATCAAGCATCTGGAACTCCCAAAAGGTATAGTTTTTTGGCATTCAACAACAATGAGAACTATAAACGGAACTCGTCGGCGCTACAGTTTTATCATCTTCGGGACATCGGAGTAGGCACTTGAAACAAGTAGCCTCCGGGAAGGTTGAATCTAATTTAGGTATGACACTTTTGTAACGGACACAAATCGCCTATGAGCCTTGCGGGGGGTCCATTAACTAATACGCCCAGCCACGTGAATGAATCGTTTCGCTGACTGCAACCATCAATGGCGAGACTCCGGCCTCTGTTTCTGTTTGGCTTGTTTGATCCCATTTTTCATCACTTGGTTCGATGTAAGTGTCAGAATACTGATCTCATGTGCGTCATCCGGTGTCTGTGTTCCACCTTTAAACGCGCTGTGCGTCCATACACGGAATAGGAATATGTCAGCAGTATGCAACATACTGGTCAGTAAATGATATGAGGAGAACAAAACAACTACAGTATATATGTATATGCTATGTACACCTTACATCACAAGAATTATGAATTTCCACAGATTTGAAGCAAACATGCTACGTAACGAAGTGGCTTTAGACATTCGGGGTCTACATGTAAACTTCATCATTGCTTTTCCACATTTGAAATTTCAATGTTGGTTTTAGAAGCGGTCGTGTTTCCGTGGTTGAATCCGCAATGGACGAGCACGCTACAACAGCATCGTTAAAGCACTTTCACAATTGACCAATCCTCCTTCAATTTGAAGGAGGAGCGTGCATTCAACGTCGCTGATTAACTGGTTAACGAAGATGCCATTGGTGCGAAAGATGTTAACACTGCTTCTCGTAAGCATTGACTTTACTACCTTTCACACCAATGGTACCCATCCAAAGACTAGAAAAGTTCGACTGGGACTCCGTTCAGTGGGCTATAATGGTCACCTATTAAGTCTACTTTGGTCCAGTTCGTAAAACACACACTACTAGTCAACAGCTTCCCACTTAAAAAAGTGTTTCATCTTAGGAGCAAGTCTATTTAACACAAATGCGTTATGATGATTCTTAGTACTGGTCTTCGCTCTGCTATGGTTTGTTTCTTGACATTGTTTAAACGCATTGTTTCCTCAAATTGCTTTCCTGCATAAGTCGTTCGAAATGGATGTTTCCCCAAGATATCATTTTAGCTAATGCCGTTTTTACGGACACACGTAATTGGCCCTTGCTTTATCGCCTTTTATTCGCTTGTCTCCGCGTCTCCTGTGTTGTTTGTTGGTCCCGATGTGCTTTAGTATCTTTGCTTCTACCACAATTGTGTCTTGTATGCAAAAGCAGTGTTTACATGCATACAATTCTTCTTGCGGTCTTGGAGTGCACACAGTCGGCAGCAACGGCAACCATTTCCTGGACACGGAGGTACTGAACAAGCATGTCCACTTCAGTAGAGCACTTGCAGACCTTCCTTCAGCAACGTCAAATATAGTTCGAAATATCACAACGTCGGTTAACTGAGTTGTCGTCACGTAAGCTGAACATCCAAGTGGAACTGAAACATGAACAAATTTGTTATCTGTATGCCAGAGACTAGTCAGCTTGCAACATTGTACAAATATGAGCGAAAATATGGATCCAGAGAAGAGCCTCACGTATCAATTGAACTGTGTACTGAGCTTGGCTATTTTGTTGCATACGCTTCGTCACCAATCGAGGTAACATCATCAAGGCGTTTTTTAGTAATGTCTAGTAACTAACATCGCGGAGGAAAGCATCGATGAGCGTACTCTTCCTTTTCTCCGAGACACCATCTACTACACGCTATCCAGCAACGCACTAATGATGTCACCTCGATTGGTGACGAAACACTGGCAACATAATTGCCGAGACCAGCGAACAGTACAACTGCTACCTGAACAACCTGAGCTACCAATCTTTGCTTTGATTTCAAACTTCACGTATGTCGCACAGCTCTTCGTTGCCAAAGTGTGCCGAATTAGGAGCTTTGAACTGCGTGTCGGAACGGTTGTGAGTAGTATTCTGCCAGAGACTGCGTGTGCACAAATTATCACTGTCAGAAGACACATAACTTCAGTGGCGTGCATACTCCACTGTTACGTGCAAGTACTAAACCAAAGAAGACCAGGTTTCATAGTGCAGCAAGGAAGGCTATTCCTGCCTCACTCACCACAGGAAAATACTTGACATGGAACTGCGACATTGTTCCAGTGTCACTGCAATGGGGTACATTGTCTAGTATCACGATCAATTCTCGGTCGAGATGGACAGAAAGTTACATGACGTCAGTCAAATTAACATAAATCATGGCTCAAAATGCACCAGACAAACAGTGATTGACTGTGGACACAAACTCAATGATCTGCAACTCCTTGTTGTCTCAGCTGCCGACATAAATCTGCTCAGAATGGATTCAGAAATCAGATTTACCAAGTGAACCACCAAATCATGTGTATTTTAAAAGTAATGTCATGCATGCACTTTTACGAATATGTGCTACAAATACGCTTGTGTTTACACCAGACTTGTACGAACGACATTTTAGCTCTGGCCTGAGCCCGAACCTCCTTGCTGGTGGATAATTGTGGATCGAGGTGGGTCGGGATAGATCCCATAGTCCGAAAAAATACAATGTTCCCGGTCAACTAATATTTTCACAGGAGAACCTGTCAGAGGGATTAATCAATCAAGTCTGGTTGATCGATCTTCGATTCAAGCTGCCCTAGCCAACTGCACAAATCTACTGCGTTTGGATGGTGTTTAGCATGTGGATCCCTGTAGAGTCACAGCTTTACTAGTTAAATTTCGCTCAAGATGTGAAACAGTTTATATTTCACTGAGTTCGATCATACCCTTTTATGTTTCGCTCCCTCTAAAAATACAATTACCTCTTAAGACAGATGTGCACCGATTGCGTGCTGTTGCATGTTCACACTACCGTTAGTGCGCGGAAGAAATTACGGGATCCGAGTCAACAATTCCAATACTTATGCCTCAGGATATAACTGCAACTCCCATGTTGGCCCCAAAAACATTCTCGGTTTTAAGTACTGACCTCGTAGATGGTTGTCCCGTTCCCTTCATTAGGTATTTATTCCGGCGCAACAAGTCATTCGGTCCTTATTTAATTTGGCTGAACATGTTTATCCCCATACCATCCAAATCAAGCAATTCCAGATTCACTTCGATCAAAATGTACTGTACATGAAGCGGGCACAAAATTTTATGGTAAAATACGTCGCAAAACTCCTCCCTTAATGTGGTCTACTACTGTTGTTTCTTCCTAAGTTGTCCAATCTTGGCAATACGCGTCGCACGAGCGGGTGTGTCTGGCAGGCTGCGGAGTAGAATGATTGCTATGGAATTGTACTAACGAATACTGTACGAGTGACCAATAAGCCATAACGTCTACCCTAGTTGGACATTCTATTCTCTTAGCAATTTTCGTACATGTTTTCCATTTATGGACAAGCAGCTTTTCTAGCAATGACAAACGAGTAAAAGCAAATACCTTGACCGGATGCACGTATACCTACCTATTATATAGTGTACACAAATATGTCTCACTTTACTATTATTGTGTTTCTTCAGTCGACATTTCACCGTGCGAGGTTAGCGTGGGATTATCGATACGATCAAATGCGACCAACCAAAAGGGACCAACCTGGGGGCAGGGAGGCTTACTATCCTTATAAACCAGACACTAGTAGCTCATGACTTCCTATTTCGCGTAGTTTTGGTATTACCTATTCGGTATCTTTCCCACTGAGGGAGTGTTCTTGCTTTTTTATGCGGTGACAGCTTGTTCTTCTGATGATGCTGCTCCTCATGGCGCAAAGCCTGGTTGTTATGTTACAATCTCAGCTGCACTGTGTCACAGCAAATGTTATGATGCTCGGATCGTACTTTATGGCTTCTTTCTTTGTTCAGGTACAATTATCCACTACTCCAACGCCCTTCAGTTTCAGGTGTTTGTTCAATCCGCATTTGTTCCCTAGATGATAGAAGTGAAAGAGGCTTTGGTGCTTGACAGTACTACCCTTTTTGTTGCAGCATCGCCTTTGATAGACTGTCGAGGAAATGAGTAGGGGATGTTTCTCGAGTTGCAGTAGAGGTCTAGCTACCTGTAGCAGCTTCCTGGTTCTACGAACGAACAAGCATTGTGCTGGGCTCGTCGTATACTCAACACCCGAGGTTTTATTGCTTTCAAGTGATGTACTACAGGGATCCAGCAGTATCACCTTTGGTTTGGGGATTGCTTTCTCAGCATCTTTGATAACAAGCAATGCAGCAGTCCCCTTCATCTGTAGCATCGAGTCTTTCTGTCTTTTGGGTCAGCTCCATGCTGCACTGCACTTAACTGCGATGCAGAGATTCTATACCATCATATGGACAGAGGGTGCTGTATCAGGTTAACACTGATCGACCTTAAACCAACGGTTATTCAAAGACGCACTTTTGTTCTTTATTATCCCTTATGTTATCTAAGTAATCCACCGCGTCTTTTGTTGACTTTTACTGTCTGTTGGACGGATCTCGACCGCTTGCTCTAAATGAGCAGAAGGTCGGATCGACCTTCAAAATAATCACCGAGTCTGTGGGTTAGTTCCGATATAACCGGTTCTCAGTCAAAACCACAAAGATTGCAGACTTCCGTTATTCGCCCTGCTTCATCTCCGATAGTGTAGATGAAAATAGCCAGATGGTATAACTTCAGATATTCACTCAGCTATATAAGCGTCGCAAACTCCACTCAGCTCTCCACACCTTCCAGTTGTCCGGGCGTGCACTTTTCATTACCTGCAATGCACTAGATAATGCCATCCACGACAGTCCATCAATGGCTATCGGGGTCCGGTGTGTCAGTTTTTCGCCTCTGGTAGTGCCTCGGGTGGCTATCCAATAATTAAATACGTAATCCGCGAAACAGCTAAACTTCACCCAAATGTTCCAAAGGCTCTTCTATACTGTGTAAAATCATAAGCGTTCTCTGAGCTACCATGTCGACTTACGAAGTTAGATTGGGGCTATTGTTAC